GTTTTATTTCACACAGGGTGCACTATATTAAATATTTTTCTGGTTTTCTCTTTAAAAAACGAAGTTATAAACAGTATTTTTGACGATAAATGAGAGCTCAAAATAAACACGTCCGCTTTGTTTGTTTGCCTTAGTAACTTTTCAGCTATATTTTTAGTTTGAATATTCTCTGCAATGATGGCGATGGTATATTAAGATTGTTTTCCGTTTGCAACTCTTCGATATAAAGAATTGGCAGATTGACGACATTAGTAGTTCACGTTACTCCTCGATTTTTATTATTTTGGACAAATTAAAAAAATAATAATAAATAAATAATACATATTTAATATTTCACATTTTCATGTTTTCCTACGATGCAATGTATAAAAAGTTCGTTCAGGCCGAATATAACACATTATTCATCTTTCCTTACCTTCCAGTTTTTAACAATAATTCAAAATTGTTACCTACGGTATAAATTAAAACATATTTTCATTCTGTATTTACTTTGCAATTAAAAAAGGTCAATGGCAATGTAAACAATACTAGTGTTTTTGTTTTCAAAAGTAGCCCATCAAATGAATTCTAGCTGTGAATGTCGTACAGACGGAATAAAACACCATTGAGGGTAAAATTTAATTATTGCCTTAAACAATTTAAGAATTTAGTTAGTAATCTAGCAACCTAAGGTGCAAATGACTGAACACGAACATTTTGGACAGATATAAAAAGTGAAACTTGATGAAAATATAGATTTTAACCATCATCGATTATGACATTTCCTTGTACATAAAAATACCAATTTGATTGAATAAAATTTGGTGTCTAATATTTCCTCATATTTTTGTAGTGGAGGTCGGTTCATTTTACAGTGATTAGCAGTTATTTCATATTTGGGATTTTCATTGGAAACAATAAAATGTTTACCTTAAATAATCAAAATTGGCTCAAGAATCGAGATACATTTGTTCGGTATTTAGAGATTTCTACACGTAGCGTGAGATATCTTCGTACAGTTAATTTTAACAATGTAGCAGAGAAGTATGGTCGGACGGGGTGGACAATATGATAACCTACACAATAACCACTGAGGATCTATATTGCATTTTTATTTTCCGATATTGGGAGCAAATATCGGAAAATATGGTATACTATCATAATGGTAATACTAAACAATACTAAATTATATGTGCCCCTAAACATATTTACTATTTCTCCTTCCATAAAAACAATTTATGTTAGAATAAAGATAAATAGTTCCTCCTTTTTACCCTGGTAACTTTTCCAGATCTTGTACTCTCGGAGTAAACATTTAGCCATTGTACGCAATATCAAAACATAGATTCTAATCAGTTGGCAAGATTTTTTAGTTAAAGGATGTGCTATACAATGAGAACCCAAATCAGTAAGGAAAGTAGTAAAGTCGGACGGGGCCGACTTTATGATACACTTCACCGCTTTGGGTGTATTTAACAGGACCACATGAAAAAAATTTTCCACTTAGACCAATATAGAGTCGTTTGTTTACAATGGGGCAAATTATATAAATCAATTTAAAGCAAATCTCAATCCGACCAAATTTCGTATCCATCTGACAAAAATGAGGAGTTTGTTGCACCATTTGCTTTAAATCGGGCAAAAATATATATGAAAGCATTTGTATATAACCGAACCGATTTCAACGTTCAAGGGCCATATTTTGGAACCTTGGTGAATTATTTACACCAAACCCGCCAATATATATGGGAGCTGAACTAACATCAGGACGTTGCTCAGAATTTTATGCATAAAGGCCATATTTGGTCTTTGGTTCATTATTGGCATAATATCGGACGATTATATATGGTGTTATATCAAAATCAGAACCGATTTCAATGAAACTTTCCACACGGCCATATTTTGGAGCTGTGGTGGACTATTAACTGAAAATCGGAAACTATATATTGGAGCTGTATCTAAATCTGAACCGATTTCAGCGAAACTTTCCACACCGAAATGTACACCAACTTCGATTTCATAAAACATGACACACGTTATGTTACAGTAAGTTCAGTACGTTGTGCAAAATTTTGTGCCAATCGGCCATATTTTGGAGCTTTGGTGCCAATTTAAAGAAAATCGGACGAAACTATATATGGAAGCTATCTATCAAAATCTGAACCGATTTCAGCGAATGTGTCAATAGGTCATATTTTGGAGCTTTGGTGCATCATTTACTGAAAATCGCACGAAAGTATATATGGGAGCTATATCGACTTAGAAAGTGATTCTATGCATATTCTCGAAAGGAACCATGTGTCTATTTCGTTTTCTTTTGTCTGTTACAAACATATGCACAAAGACATAATACCCTGTGCTAAAGTGTGGTGAAGGATATAATAAATTGCAGCCAAATCGGTTCAAAAACGTGTCCCAGAATTTTATTCTGACCAAAAATATATATTCCTTATGGGGTCTTCTGTGAATATTATCGGAATAAGTACATCCGTGATCATATTTAAATATAACTTCCACATCCGAGTACAGACATCTTTATGGTTTGTATCAAAGGTAAATGTCCTTGAGACAAATGGGCCCGCTAAATATTTATCGAACTTCATATTATTCTTTGGCTAACTACCATATTTGTGGCATCTTGAGCGACTAGAAAAACATATAAAAATAAAGTTTTGGACCCATTGATCTAGAACATATATATGCTTTTTTGAATTTTCGATTTTTTTAGTATGGTTAAGGGAATACGGTTTTGCCCAATCTTCTAAAGCTTTCTTCTTCAAATTCTTTTAGATGAGAGCTAAATATCGGCATATTCATATCATAATATTAAAAATGATCAAGATTAAAAAGCATGCAATTCGCGTAGTCCTTGAAATCAGTTATTGCGCATGCGGTTTTCGTATAAACCGAATCAATCTCTTCCAATAGTTATGCATTTTTCGATGTTTAGCGACCAAAGTGTGCCGCCTCAATCACTTTACTATGCAAATACCATAAAAATGGTTAAAAATGACAGAACGTGCATAAGATTTTTATGCGCATCAGATTTTAGTAATCTCATATGAAAATTCACTAAAGTACATCTATTTTAAAAGAATTGGTTAAGCACAAAATACGCCTATTATTCGCGTATCGATGTATTTTTTGCCTATTTTTACAAATATTCGCGAATATGACAATACAAGCATGAATATATGAAAAACCAATTCGAAGAAAACGCGATTATATACGCGAATTTGTCAAAATGAGTTTTTGTAGTTTTTCCTACATCCAAATTTTCGTCTTTGGAATTCAATAGAAAATAAGCAAATTTATGAGATATACACTAAACGAAGGAAAATCACGAGTTCTACTATCCTTGATTATAAGAAAAATTCAAAATCCACCGAAAATCCGGCTTCAAAATGTCAGCATCCCTTTGGGTGGATGCAGTGATTATATCAAAAAATCATAAATTAGAACCATATTTTCCATTGGGTATTTTTAAACTTACTCACTGATCACAAGTTCATATTTCGCGAGTTATAAGATTGGAAATCTCAGTTTCAAGGAATTTAAAATATTTTTGTGTGCAAAGTATAAACCTGTTCAGGTTTATATATTGCAGCCATACATATTTTCGTTCGATTTTATGTAAATGGTATATCAAAGAACCAAAATAATGTCAATTTTGTCCCATTATACACAACAAATATTAATATGTCCGTTGGAAATTAAAAGTTCATAGGTTGCAGAATGGTGTATTTGTCGATTGACTTATGTCGGTTCATATATAATTTAAAATTACATATGACCAGTGGTCCTTCAATATAGCACCGTCTGATAGGATGCATGGTGATGAAAGGTATAAGATAGTCGACCCCGTCCGACTTTACTACTTTCCTTACTGGCTTTACATTAAAGTAGACACAGCATTGACGTAAATAAACCTTGGAGGTCATTATCATGAAAAGTTTTCAAAGACAAAATAAATAAATCCAATACTATTCAATATTTTTATGTACTTTAATAACTCCGGAGTTATAAAGTTGGCAATATTGCCCATATGTTTTTTTTTGTGTTGTTTTTTAATCAGAAAATTTCGACCTAGCACTGTACGTCTCTCTGCACATACAGTAGTAACTTTTAGAATGTTTGGTATGTGAAATCCAGGTTGTGGTATAGCCTTCATATAACAATACACCCAAATTGCGATATTTTGGTGAGTTTGGGTAGGTTTTTAAACAGATTACAATTCAATTATTCAGCTAGTCGATATATGACGAGCGTTATACTAAAATGTGGATCTAGGACCAATATTTCGTGCCGTTGCAATTCATGAGCTACGATATCCTTACAACATAATTGTGTATGGTTTAATTATGGGTTGATCTTTGGGTATAACCCCAAACATTGTATGAACTGTATTTAAGTTTAAAAAAAGAATTAAAATTAATGCGAAGCCCTTGGTATAGTCAATCGCCAATCTATACGGACAGCTTTCATTGGAGTTGGTTCGAATTCATATATCTACACGGTCGATTGTTATTTTTTTTCGGGCTCGTACACTTGTGACGATTTTGTAAACATCTTCGGACTTTTGACATTGAGAATGCGACGGCCACAATAAAATGAGACAGGCAATATATTTGTAGTAACCCTCGTTTTAAAGGTTTCCTATGATAGAAGATATTGTTTATCTCTTTACTTCCTAAATATTGTACATCTCAAGTGTAAGCTCCGAACTATAACCTAAGCATTAATTCTATTATTGTATTCGTTCTGTAAAGAAAACTGCACATAAAAGATCTGAACGCCCTTGGCATTTATCCCCCTTTAACGCCCAACTCCCATTGAGGTGTGCCACGTTCACAGCACAAACAAAAAACCAAACATCTGCCATAATACATTTTCTTTTTTTATCCCTAAAATATTCATTTATAAATAATTTCACAATATCGTACATCGTGCCATGACTAAAAATGTCCCAAATATCTCGACTGCAAAAGTCATAAATAAATTAACTGGGCCATTGAACTTACCACATCTTTTGTTGTACTCTGAGAATATTGCAAACGTTTTGTACGCCGCTGAATACGTTTGCGTGCTATTTTATAGATTTTCCAGTACAGAACTAAAATCATTAATAATGGAACGTAAAAGGAGCAACAGGTAGCAAAAATCTGAAAATAAATGACAGTCATAAAAAAGGATTCCATTAAACAATTGTCAAGAACGAGCGAGCATAAGTTAGATAAATAGTTCATCATTAAAAAAATGATAGTTGGAGAGACCGCCACGAATTATTGATGGCAGCCATTGCTTGGTTGTTGGATCTCCCTACATCCTTCCTCTATCGTCTATGTTCGCTTACCTGATAAATGACATCCTGCGAAACCATGCATTTTTGTTGTTCAATACGTTCCATATACTCGGGATCCTTCCAGCCAAATTGTGGTGCCAATGATACAATGACAGCAAAAAACCACACCGTAAATATCATGCAAAAAATACGACGCGGTGTTCGTAAATTGTGATAATCAATATCCGTCACTGTCCAGTATCTGTAAGAAAACAGTTGAGCCATTTAAGTTATTGTCATTTTTAAGAGGCGAAAAAAGATAATTTGTCTACAACAGATTGTCCTTGCCAAAGATAGGATTTGGGTGTTTTTTAATACGTTTTTAGATTACAAAAGACAGCATTTTATAAATTTTACATTTTTATACCCCTCATCTCACTGTGGCAAAAGGAAACGAAATAGACACATGGTTCCTTTTGAGAATATTCATAGAATCACTTTCTGAGTCGATTTATACATGTCCGCCGTCCGTCTGTCTGTCTCTGTCCATTTTAAATTGTAAACAAAATACTGGTCGCATTTATGATCCGAATTGGATGAAATTTGGCACAGGTCACTTATTTGGCCCAAGGACGAACCCTATTTAAATTGGGAAAAATCGGTTCAGATTTAGATATAGCTCACATATATAGTTTCGTCAGATTTAATGTAAACGGTCCCTATATTCCCTTCGATTTGCACGAAATTTGACACTGCGTACTGCATTAGGTCTAGAATGATGTGTTTTAAGTTTCCTGAAATCGGTCCATATTTAGATATAGCTCCCGTATATATTTTCGTGCGATTTAAGGTAAATGGTACACCAAAGTCCCTATATATCTTTCGATTTGCACGAAATTTGGCATAGAGTACTGAATTTTCAATATTTATAAATTTAACATTAGGCGAAAGAAATGTCCGATTTGAACCAAGCCCAGATCGTGTCCGAAGAAGAGACTTATTAGCAGGGTGCCCAAAAATTCGCTCGCGAATGATTCAAAATACATTCTTCTCGTTTTGTGCTCATTTTAAGAATGAATTTATGGCGATAAATTCTTTACCAAACGAGCATTCGCCAAAAGAATGTTCGCTCACACATTACAAAAGAATGAGAGCACAAAATAACGATCGTTCGTTGCGGTGGTGGTTGAAATCATTTATGACATTCATTCGCCAATGACAAAGAATGACCGCAAATGTTCGCGAATACGATTGTGTTTAGTTTATTGTGATACATGTAAAAAGAATAACACGTCGTCGGTATTTTTATATTTTGTTCTGATACGCAGTAAAATGGGCAAAGTGACAAATATAGATAAAAAAACGTTTCATATAATAAAGACACAAATATCGTCGTTTTAACCAGTTTAGTGCAAAATTAAATGAAAACAGCTTTTTAAAGTGTTGTGTTGGAATGGTGACTGTAAAAAATATTCCATTCCGAATTTTTGACGACGATCTGTATTTTAAGCCAATAATTGAACCATATGAAAATCAATTTAATTTACATTTAAATTAAAAAAATATTATTGTTGAAAAAAAATATTATTGTTATTATTGAACACATAAATTGTTTAAAGTGCTAAACTCGGTAATGGCTGTTGTACGATGCGCAGCACACACTATCCAATTGGCAGCTAATGATTGTTTTAAGGACATGCAATGTAAACTGGAAGATTGTAGAAAAGTTGTGAAACTTTTAAGGGCTAGCATAAAAAGCGATCGATGCCCTGTAGATATTCGTTTGCCACCAATTGATAATATTACTCGATGGAACTCGACGTTTGATATGATGGAATTACTTCTGAGTTTTAAGGATCAAATAAATGGAAACGATGTAGAATTTTCTATCGACTGTGAAATTGATTGGATCTTCATAAAAAAATTTTGTCAATATGTTTGCACCAATGGCACAATTTACCAAAACTACTCCAAGCTGAGCAGTATATTATTGGCGATTTTTACAGAGATTGTCTTGTATGTGAAGCTAAGTTAAGGGAAATAGGAGAAAATGTGTTTGCTGTAAGGTTACTGGAGTCTATGACAAGAAGGAAAGAAAAAGTGCTTGACAATGTTGCATTTCTTTCCGGGATCTACTTCGATCCAAGGTTTTACTTTTTGGATTCCCCATATATTAATGATGACCAAAAGAAAACTGCCGTGGTATGCCAATGTCCCATGACGACCATTATCAAATTTTGGAAGAAGAATTAAATAACTTGACGAGTACCCAATTTCAAGCCAAAATAATGGTAATATTCGCCAAAAACTGGAAAATTTAGCATATCGAAAAAGGATGCCGTTTGCAACGAATATACTTGACTACTGGCAAAATATGTAAATTAAAGAAAAATATTTGTTTAATCTGGCTGAAATAGTTTTACAGGTCCAGCAAGTCAAGTGTCCGTAGATAGAGCATTTAGCGCACTTTCCAGAATTCTTACCAAGCAGCGCTCTAGATTAAGCAGTACCACTATTAATAATTTATTAATAGTTAAGTTGAATAACAATATAAGGAATTTAAGAAAAATTAAATGTAATGTCTTTTTTATATACTAGTTTTTTGTTTTGAATTCATTTTTATTTATTTTTATCCATATTCTACTTTGAATTACACTTGTTTTTATCAATATCTTTATGTTTGGTAATACTTGAAGTAAAAAGATTTTTCTTAATAAAATTTACATAGACACGTGATGTGTCCACTTTCTCTTGTTATCTGTTGTTTTTCATTGGGCTTTGTCGATTGGAAAATGAAAAAGTAATAATTATGGACTCATCTAACCAACAATAGAATATATGCAAGCAATAAAAAAATAATTTTCGTAAGCAGCATCGCAAAACTTTTCCAAATAAGAACAAAATAACCCATCATAAAATATGTACAGATGTGCAACATAAAAGAAAGGGTTTTTGATTGCACACATGTTGAAGAACTCTTGCATACATAAACGTTCATTCATTATTTTGCTGTGTGTTTACAAATATGACACTTCTGTTAAAAGAATAATTTGCGAGCATTCGCGAATTATTCTTTTTTTAGGTTTTCACATAAATGCTCTTCAGCAAAGAATGCTCGCGATTGAATGAACCGACGCTTGCAGCGAAGTTTTATTGTTATTCCCGAAAGAATGCATATGTTTGTTTATTCAGTGTAACTTTATCATTCGCGATTAATTGAAAAAAATTCGAATTCTCGCCTCGAGCATTCGTGAGAAAGAATGTATTTTAATCATTCTCCGCACCCTGCCCATTAGTCCACACTTCCCTTACAAAATTGAACTAAACTTTTCACAATCTATATATATAAACATGGTGCCAAAAAATGTATACTAACTCATCAATTGAGAACGGCTGGACCGATTTGACTCAAAATTTCTTCAGTTGTCGGTAATTACGGTGGGAAGGTTTTTATGAAAGAAATTTGGACTGATTTGCCTTAAAGATTCTGTCAATAGTCTGTAATTGTAGTGGAAAGGTTGTAATGAAAGAACATTTTCAGAAAAATCCGCGAAAATGTTGCAAAATATATTTTGAAGTATATTAGCATTTCCACACATTTTATATCGAACCTTTGTGGATTCATCTCTTCGTAGTTTTTTTTTTTTTTTTTTTTTTTTTGACATATTTTGGGCGAAAATGGGCAGCGTATATCTTTAAGTAATTGTCAATTATGGAAAATTCTCAAAATATATTAATTTTCTACAATTAATTAGATTGTCATTGCCTTGAAAAAACTATTGTATATGAAAATTAATTTACATATATTTTCACTAGAGTTATATTTACTAATAAGAAACCGAAAAGAGAGAGTGAGATTAATCGTTTTCATTATGTGCTCACGTTTTCCATAAAATCAAGATTTATTTAGTTTCAAAATATAAGTTATGTTAAGCAATTTGCATGGTATGTATGTAGGTTGTGAAAAATGTATGAAATAAAACACAGTAAGACATGGTAAAGATAAAGCGGTTCCATTATGTGGAGCCTATACCAAAAACTATACCGGCAATTATGAGGGAAGTTTCTTAACCCAAGGTGGAATACCAAATTAAAGACAAATAAATGGATATTTTGTTACTACTTTCCAAGTACTTAATATCGGATAAGCATGCACAATAATGGAACAAATTGTTTTGAACTTATAAGTGCAACGCATATCCCATATGTTATCTGGGCAACTGGCCGAAACTTGATCGTGTCCTTAGTAGGAAACAACAGCAGGAATATTTTTGAGAAAATTGCCAACACATAGACATACGAAAACGTCTATCAATATATTCAATGATGTTAGTAATTCACTATATACGATTACAAATACGTCAAAAAAATACGAAGGTATTATTGAACATTTTCTTATATTCGTGAATAATACATTTGAATTCGAATCCTACATGGATGCAATTCCGCATTACATGCTGTTTGTGTCTAACTTATATGTGCCTTTATGATTCCTCAAATGTATTTTTAAAGATGAGAAAAATATTTGTATGGTGTATTGACTGTACCGATTTCACTCACATTTTCCATTGGCTGTTTGTAATTGCATTGGGAAGGTTTTTACGAAGAAAATGTTGAGAAAAACCTCAAAAAGTCGGGAAATTTGAATAGTCGAACGTTGTGTTAGTTACATCGTTTATAACTCAAGAACGTCTACACCAATTTTGACGATTCAAAGGACTTATAAATCGTATGTGGCCAGAACAGGAAAATATGCAATCTAATTGTAATATTCCGCCAAAACAAATGTATTAAGTAATATTTACAATGCCCCAATTTTGTATTGAGCTTTAATGTTTAAATAAATTGTTGTTTTTGTAAGACATATGGTTTTTTGAGTTAGTTAGATCAAAACTTCTAATTTCATAAAATATGTGTATGTTCTAATAATATTGACGAAAATAATGGTAATGATATCATTTTTAGGATTCCCCTACCCTGTGTATTTCTTTCGACAATGTTTCTTTTTTTGCCTCAAACTTGAAGTTTGGATGTGGGCCTATGTAACCTTAAACAACAACATATTCAAGTGTTAAATTGAAATCAAGTTGTTAAACAATGTGAGGATATAACAAATCCGATTACAAAATTTCACGATTTAGAGTTAAGAGTAAAACTGGCATTTACAATTAAAAGAAGGTATTCGGCGTCAACACTGGCCAAACTTTTTCCCCTTAACTGCTAAACACTATATATAGCAAACTTATATAAATCTATAACGGC